CTTCCTAGAAACTGAGTAGCTTCCCAGAAAAAAGGAAAAGGAAAAAAAAAAAGGCAAACCAAACACAGAACTGATCTGACAAAAGGGTGCTCTTAAATGCTGAAAAGTGACACCCATCCGGTAGGAGAGCTGGAACAGAGTAGGAAAAGCCAGAAGCAAGAGCGAGGGCTGGGTTCACCCATGTGAGCTGGTACAGGGAGCACAGAGGGGTGTTTCATGAGATTCTGGAGAGACGTCCAAGCTGCTGTGCTGACTGTCCCTTCTCTGAGCGTGCAGTTCTGCATCCCACTTAGTATAAACCCCCGGAGGCAGGATGAAGGCAAATGAATCGTGCTTTGTTACCGTGAGTCACTCGGTTGCCTGACTATTGTCTCTTCTCTCCTCAGTGAGTCACTGACACCTTCCTAGAGCAGCCGACAGACCCCCGGCCTTGTTCCTCCTGGAAGGAGCGTGATGGGGCTTTGTTTCGGTGGCAGCTGGGTGGGCTGAGAAGATGGCATGAGGCTCAGGCTCGGCGGCCCAGAAGGCTGATGGATTTCCTCAGTTATGGGCAACGCTTTAGCAGTTTGAACAGATAGAGCAGGGGAAGACAAACCGTTTTCTGAGCACGGCAGAAAACACAATCTATTTCCTGGTACCAAGGGAACACATCGAAAATATCCTGGATGCTCTTGCAAGTGCTCTGCAGTCTCTTTGTTTTTCATTTTTCTTTCGTCATAGTCTGATTCTGCCCCTCTTCCCTTCCCTTTCCTAATTTTTGTCCTTTCTTTCAGCCCCTGCTCACTCCTCAGTCACGTCGTTGCTGTTAGAAGAAATCTCTCCAGTGCTGTGCGTGCTGGGTTGCGATGGCCTGCCTGCAGGTGCACAGAGTGGAGGCAGAGGTGCTTTCAAGCTGAAGGTTTCGACCTTGGCTGCAAGCAGCCTTGTGGAAAGCTGTGCTTTTCTCTGCCGTGACTGCCCTGTGCTCTGCGTAGCTCCCACCGAGACTGACGCAGAGCTAAACCCAGGGTGGCGTCACAGTCTCCTGATAAAAAGCAGATCTTTGGTGTGAAGGTCTTTCAGTCAGTAGATCATTTTGCTTCCTGAAAAGTGTAATCCTGTCCTCTGGGCTTTTTCTGATGGGGGAGCTCATGTGTGCTGTGTGAGCAATGACTGGATCGATGTTCTAGCCTGATACAACCTGTGGCCGTCCCTTGTTCCCGGGCGAGCCTGGGTTGTAAACGTGAGCAGATGCAAAGTGTTCGCCTCAGTTGAATTTCACATGTGGATTTGGTGGTTCATGAAAGCTTCAGCAAATCGGATATAAACTCTTACTGCTCTACTAATGATCAAACATGCAGTTTCTGTTGTGTACCCGATGCTGGTGTGTTTGATTGGCCTGTTTCTGCCTAAATTGGTGGGTTTGATTTGCAGGTAATGGGTAGCTAAAAGGAAGTTCACAGATGCAGCAGCAGTTGTGATTGTTACCACGGTTATACTTAGTCCCTGCTTGATGTCTTGCAGTGCTTTTCAAGCCTTAATTCGCCCTTCCAGGTTTGGCAGGTGGTAGGGTAGATATTCCTCACCTTTGATCAGCCCTCGTGGCCTACCTTTAAACTCTATATTGAGAAGAAAGCTGTTCCCTTTTCTCCTCTACACCCTGGCTTGCCAGGACGCCGAAAGAGAGCGGGACCGTGGGACATGTGCAAATGGGGGAATCTGGGAGGCCCCGTCTGATACCGGTAGGTTGCTCACTCGCCTGACTCGGAGCTTTTTACCCTTTACAATCCCCGTTCGGGTTGTGATTGAGACCACGTATCTGTCGCTTCTCAAGGATAGGAGAAGAGGATGAGCCTTTTTCTTCAGAGTATCTGCTCTCGACTCAAACAAGCTGCTACGGGCTTTATCTGTGGTTTTTAGAGATAGCGCTTCCGTTAATTCCCGCGACGGCCCTTCTGAGGCTGTATTGCTCGAATGGTCTCGTTCCTCCAGGCTGGCGGTAAAGCGCGTTCCCCCTGGGGCCGCGGGGGCACGGTGTGTGCACAATGCCATCTCCTCTCCGTGGAGCGCTCCATTCAGCACCTTTCAGAAGAATTATGTTAATTCATGTAACGTTCGTTAGGGATTTCTGCGGCCGTGCTCAGAAGCGAGCGGGTGGAGGCTTGTTCCTCCGGGTGGGTGGAAGTAGGAACAGAGCAGCCTTGTTGCCCACATGGATGTCTCCATTCTTCTCGCGCACAAAAGAGCAAACGTGCTTGTGGCTCGGGATGGGGTGGTACCGGCCCTCCTTCGGCTCAAGAAGAGATGAACCTTTGTGTTGCTCCCATGAGCTGCTTCTCCTGGTGTGCTCCCGTCTCTCGCAGGCGAAACTCCAGCTGCTCGCTGGCACAGGGGCTGCCGTGAAGCCCTTTGGTCAGAAACTCCCCTCGACAGACATCCCTGCCTTCTGTCCCAGCTCCCAGTTCTTCCCACTGGTCCCAGTGGAGGATTCTTCTTTCCTCTTCAGAATGGATCCCAGAGCTGTGTCCGACCTTCCCTTCTGCCCATCAGCGACTCGACCTTGTCTTTCCCCAGCGAGGGGTTGCCTCTGCTCCAGGAAGGTTTTTGCAGCAGTACCGGGGGATGCTTTTCGTAGCGCACAGAGCCTTAGATTTGTGGAGACAGGTAGAATCTCAGACGTGGAGTCCTGCTTCAAAGTCATCGCTGCCATTTCTGGGCACTTTGAGAAGTGTTTCTTTTGAGGGTTTCTTGGTTGCTACTTGAAAACTCCATCAGAGAGAGCACAATGAGGCTGAAACCAGTAATTTAGAGAGGGGAGTGGCCGCAAGAGTCAAAAGTGACAGAGTGGGGTTTGATTCCTTTTGCTTTTGAAGCTGCTTCCCCTTTGATTATATCCCTCACATTATCATGTGTAGATCTGGAAAGGTGATTATTTTTGAACATCTCTCAAACTAAGCAGCACGTCAAGCAAGCACCACCACCTTTATAAATGGGTGCGTATTCATGGTAATAAACACATGGGGATATGTGTAGCACCATCTTTTGACAGCCAGGTATAATCAGAAGCGTTGGACGTTTATCACAAGCTCTGGCACGATCTGCTGAAGCAAAATCTGAGCAGGAGGGACGGAAAATGCTTTTGTAGCCAAGGAGTAACGTGCCAGGTGTGCCCAGGGGAGTCAGGGTCCTTCCTAGATGCCTTCTCTGGCCTGGCAAGCGACAGAGACGCAGCAGCAAAGTCCTGATGCCTGGTTTGCTCCCCGCGTGGTTGGGGAGGGAGATTCTTTTTCATCGTACTTGTGAGAGGGCTGAAGCTGACACGGGAGCTTTTTGCTATTGCCACAGACTTTGTTAGCTGCGGGAGAAAATAGTCAGCTGCGTGGTTTACAGTTGCTTCAAAGCCGGTGCAGAAGAAAGGAAACATCGACAAGACCCTTGTACAAAGCACACAGCCCGAGGTTCTTCAGATACAGAGTGTTTAGGGGAATATTTAAAACAAATGTTTAAAAATGACACAAAGGCGCACCAGCAGGGGAGCGAGGTTTGCCCTCCACTCTGTCAAATCCAGGGGAGGGAAGCTGAGCAACTCCGAGCTGTGCCTCAGCGAAGATCCGAGCATGTTCCTAATCCCCGATGCGATTCAGGTATTTAAAGGCCTTACTTGCTAAAAACATAAAAGGCCCTGTCAATTCAAGCAATATTTTTCACTTCAATTAACCATCCCGGAAAATTGTTCCTTTATTGTCTTTTCGTCTCTGTTTAGTTTGAGCAAATCCAACTCTTCTCATTGTCTCTCTGCAGATTATGAAAGGCTTTGTGGATTATATCATCAAATTAAATCAAGCCTGTTAGCGTCGCTCTCGGAATATCACAGCAATAGGCTGTGCCTCGGGCGGCCTGGCCCTTCCTTCTCTTTTAAAAATGTTTTGCGGCCGCGTTGCTCTGAGCTAGTACGTCTCTCCTTGCTAATAGGAAAGTGTATAAAACTCACATAATCGTTAATATTGAAGAATCATTAAGGTTGATAAAAGCAGCTCCGACTGCAGTGACGCTGTTTATTCATGGGCGCTGCTTTTGGAAATCCGGCCACGCTGCCATCCGTTCTGCTGTTTTTTTAGAACCTGCCCGTTGATCTAGTGGCTGTTTGACTCCATCTATTGCACTCTCGGAGATAGCTCCGGTTAGATGATAATTCCGCAAGCCCGCAGGAATAAATGGATTTCTAGAGGCTGTCTCCACTGCCTTCATCACCTTTTCCACAGCCCCTGCTTTTGATGCAGACAGCATCCGAAAGGCAGCAATCTGTAGTTGAGCAGTAAAGTCTTGGTTGGGTTTTCATTAAAGGAATGATGTGCTGACTGGCTGAAAAGTGTCAAAACTACAATCCTGTAGCATCAACAAAATAAGGCAGGATGCCTTTCTAACGGGAGAGGAATGCTGAAAGCAGAAACGAGCCCTGCATGAAATTGGTGGATCTGAGCGCTTCTGCTCCGGGGAAAGGTTACGATGTACAGCAGACATGGTCGCTTTTTTTTATCCTTAATAAGAAAAGACCAAAGTCTTAAGGTTCACGACACACGGCTCACCTTTGCTTCCCTCTCCCCTCTGCAGTAGTTCCTCGACAGTGCATCCAGCTGGGTTTTCCTCTCTTAAGCAGAACTAGAATCGAAGTAACATGGAAAGTATTACAAAAGCGCGAAGCCCATCTGAGCATGCGGCAAAAGGCTGGAAAAGCTGGGGGAATCGGGGGTATTATTTTCAAGTCTGTTAGTGAGAAGAAGGAGTTGACCTGAGCCAAACAGAAATATGTCTTGGGAAAACCCCTGGGCGTAAGAAGTGTGTGTGAGTTTATGGTGACACTGGAAAGGGAGATGACAGGGACTCAGCCTAGAGCGGGCCTGGTCTGGATCCCATCCGGACACCCCAGTGTTGGGACTAGAAGCTGGAACCTGCAGATTGAGTTGGAGTTAAAGACGATTTCGTGAATGGGGCTTCATCACGCTGTTATGTTTGCGATGCAGGAGGCCTCCGAGGAGCTACGGTGGTGGATGCCTTAGATACCCTGTACATCATGGAACTCGAGGAGGAATTCCAAGAAGCAAAGAAGTGGGTGGAGAAGAGCTTTGACTTGAATGTGGTGAGTCAGTTCCTGGGAATGCCTGTCTGTGTCACCGAAATGCCTCGTGTTCGGCCAGTTCTGATCACAATTTCTAAGAATCAGTTGGGGAGGGGAACTCTGAAGTCTGTGGGGGAAGAAACCACTCAACTCTGCTTATTATTTTTAGGGCCAAAGAGAACGATTCACCCCATTTTCTGCCTGTACGTGGCACAGAGCTCCACTCAGGAGCCACCAGATTGGACTCACAGAGTCTGGCTGAAAATGCATTTCAGTGTTTTAATGTTTTCAGTGTTTTGGTCTGGGTTATAAAAACAGCTGTAATTATTAGATACTCCAAGGAGGTTTTGATCATGAAAGAACAAGTTCAGTTTCATATCCCTTAAATGCCTGCCTGTCATAAGACAAGTTTTCTTTCTACGTGCTTTAGATTAAGATTGAAAACACTGATCTCCTTCACTGGGCCCTTTGTTGGTCTGTCATCACTGGGACTTGGCAGTGGCACCACGGCAGCAAAGTGAGAGCACACAGTGAGCCTAGATTTGAAAGGAGGGGCATCATCTCTAATAATGGCAAGAGCCGCTCGCTCTCTGTGGCCCCTGGAGCTTTCTGAGCCACTTCTCAGAGGTAGCGTTAGACTTGCTGGGACTCGAGGTGCCCCGTACGCCTCGTGGTGCTGGCGCTTGAAGGATGCTGTTCTGTACCTCGCTTGGTGACTGGGGCTCCTTGCCATAGCTCTGACTGTTGGTCTCCAAGCCAGCTTTTGTATTTCTCATGGGAGAGCTGATGAGATCTCGTCAGTGGCACACAAAGAACATTAAGACCAGAGTGCGGTTCAAACTTCTTCTTTTTTTTTTTTTCTTTAATGCCAGCCTAGTTGTCCATTGTGAAAAATGGTTCTCCCCATGGGAACAATGTGTGCAGCTGCCTGTAGAGAAAAGCATCATTTGAGAGAGCACGACTGGCATTCATATATTCATAAAAGGAAGACCACATCTGATAAATTTGGTGAATGCTCTCAGTACGTTATTGAATCGATAAACAAGGGACAAAATCAACCGGGAGATAATTTATCTGGATTTCATAAAAGCTTTTAATCTTGGCCTGCAGAATAGATTGATCTGCAAAGACAAGAATGAATGCTGTGGATTGATCGGTGGAGTCGGAAGGCACAGCAGAGGGAGAGAACGGGGGAAATTAATTAAAAATTGGCTCTGTACAAGGAACTCTTAATAGTCCAGAAAAGTGAGGCAGGGACTCCAAGGCCCACAAGCTCCATTGGAAACTGGGTGCCGTGATCTGTCTCGTGCAATTTCAGTCGTCATCTCAAGAAAGCGCTTGCTCTGATTTGTAACCCGCAGGTATTTGGAAAGGGCAGGCTAGCGCAGAGGTTCAGGTGTCCCCTTGCTCGCTGAAAGTGCTGCACTGGTGGAAGATCTTTCAGGGGATTGGTTTTATGCATTTGCTTGAGGGTAGGAATCATTTATCAGGCAGATTCAACAGCCAGGAGCATGTATTTTTTAAAGGCACATTTTGAGCGCAATCGTTTTGACGTTTGCTGATCATCAGCGGAGTAGGTAGAGCCAACTTGTTCCAGGTGAGTGGGCTCCTGAGCAATTCAGTGAACCGTATCCGTCCGTGTCTGCTGCCTGTGGTGGTGGGGCACGTGGACATCACGCAGGTTGTCTCTCGGCAAGCGTGCGGTGACAGGCACCCTGTGGGCTGTGGTCCTGTCTGACCCTGCAGACTGGTGAGTCCTTGAATGATAGAAAATAGCTGCTGAACACAGGAGATGCATTACACCTCTCTAATTCAGTGCCCTCTTCACAAGAAAATGGAGAAAGTAATTTCTTCCATGTGGCTGCACAATTTTCTCTTCAGATAAAATGTTTCAAGGGGAAAATTTTGGCCCTGGCCTAACTCAGAGCTTTTTGCAAGGCATAGCCCAGGACAAGATTGGGTAGATGGACGATACAGCTGCCCTCACTGGTTTGCATATTGTCAACTGGTGATAAATGGGCAGTTTGGGTGTTTCTCTCTTCCCTTCAGACTCCACCTGTCACTGTGGAGCAAATAAGTGCTGCGAGATCTTAGACAAGAAGCTGCGTTACACTGTGGATGAGGACTGGGAGGCTTAAGTATCTGCCTACAACCTGTTCCCCTCAGCTGCCGTTTGTGCGGGCAGACTTTGCAGTCAAGTGTGTCGTTGTGTCTTTTCAGAACGGAGAAGCATCCTTGTTTGAGGTGAACATCCGCTATATCGGAGGACTGTTGGCCACATACTACTTAACCGGAGAAGAGGTTTGTTTCAGTATCTCTGCGTGTCTCACCCAGTCACCAATGATGAACAGAAAGGGTTCTCCAGCAGCTTTTCTCTGAGCATCAGATAATCCCTCCATAACAACAGGCTAAACCTATCGTTTTTATGAATATCAAAATGCCACTAATGTTCTTTTAATTAAGGCTCACATAATTACCTTGCGCGCACCGTGCATGGCTCATTTGCAAAGATCGTTTCTCCTGTGGGCAATTCGAGCAAGACGTGTTTTCGGTTGGACACGTTGCTCCCCAGTGAAATGCTCCCCATTTGCAGTGATCTTTGTCTTGGTGCTTGTTCCTTTGTATTCTAAGCAGACGATATTTCATTGAACATCATTCTGGATTCTGCCTCAGACTAAGGAGGGCAACTGATTAGTGGCAAGTGCTCCAAACTCTACCCGGGCGGTCACTCTAGAGCAATAGTTCCTAAGATAAAGTGCCCTGGGGTACAGGGAAGGAGGGTGGCAAACTGCCAGGGCAGGGGACCTGCATCCTGTCAGCTCGTGTGGCAAAAGTCCACGAACCATCTCCCCGTGCCCAGCAGGTGAGGGCTGGGTGTCACAGCCCCTCCTGTAGCGGGGTGGAGCGGCCGTTCGGTGGATGCTCCCATCCCTCAGGGGTCCTGGCTAAAGCAGGAGGCTCTCGCTTCCATTTTCCTTCTCTCTCTTCCAGCCTGACAGAGCCCAGGGCTTAATGCCATAATCTGTTTTATAATGTGACTGGACTGGAATTTTACAGCTGGCTGTAGAGAGATGAAGAGATTATTCCTTTGCCCTGGAAGTCTTAAGTGAGCAGAAACTCTTGATTCAAGGGGGATTTTTGTGAGTGAGAGAGCTGGAAGACTGGCTCTTAAATGAGAACTTAGCTCTCATGCCGTACACCGACCGCAGCTGGGTGCTGTCCACCGTATTAGGATGGGATGGCTCCTCACTGCATAGTGGCACCATTGATCCGTGGAGTCACAGGAGCAGCTCTGTTACTTTAGTTGCATTTTAAATGAGTTCCAGGAATGACTTCTCTCTGTGGTTTCCCTCCAGGGAAAACTCAAAGACTCAGTGCCCCGACTCAGGGCCTGTCTCAGTCACAACTTCAACAGGCTTCAGATCAGCAGAGCAAAAAGAAACCACATTAAACCATAAAACTCCAGCGGTGCCCTCTTGAAGTGCAGTCGCTAGCTGATGCTCAGCAGCCAGGGCAGTGCCTGTCATAGACCCAGTTGGTGTCATAAGACTGAAAGGCAAAAATCAAGTCCCCATCTCTTGCTTTGCCTTCTGAACCAAACCCCAGTCTCCTTGTGAGGGTATCAAAAGTCTGCAAACCCACAGGAGAGCTCAGGTTTCCTCCGTGTTGTATTTTTAGAGCAAAAAATTCCTGCTTTGTGACAACTACTATGACAGCCTGGGCTGGTAGAGGGGGGCTAGAGGTAAAAGGCTTGTGCTTTATCTCCTAAGTCACTTACAGGCTTCCCTTGATCAGGACTAATCTCTGGAGCAAAGATTAGTGCTCGTATCGGTTTGTCCCGAAATAATTGTGTATGGTGGCTTTGTGCTGCAAGCCACCATAAGCTATAATTTGATGTGAAAGCCCAAAACTGAGGCATTACAAATGGAAAAGGAGCAGCTTAGCCATGAAACCATGAACCCTTCCTGGAAAAGACTTGCGAGTAAAAGGTTCTTCACTGGAAATCATGGTTTTTGCAACAGGAGATGACAAAGCTAGACAAACCTGTGTTGTAAATCTAACAATGCTTCACCCTAGAAAGATTTCTTTTGATTTTAATTCAGTCCTTTTACCTCCCTGTGTCCTCTGCCACCCTGGGAAAAGGGAAAAATTTGTCCCCAGAGTACTCTTTGGATCAGTTCAGATCATGGAAATTTGCTGCTGAGGTGTTTGGGGTGTTCTGAGCTCTGCAGCTCTGGCTGCTCTTGTCCGGGCAGAGGGGTTCGTAGGGGACTTACGGCAGGTTTAGCGTAGGTTTTTAGAGGATAGGAACCCAGGGTTCAGCATGGCTTGGTTCAGATCTGTCGTGCAGTGGAACTAGGGCAGCAACGTACCTTGAGCTGTAGATTCTTACAGTGCAGCAGCTTTAGCTTTTTATAACGGTGGGTTTGAGAAAAAAGTGGATTTGAATGGGTCCAGTGTGACTAGTATTGACAAGCAGCAGCCCATCAAATATTTATCCTCTCTTCTTCTCTTAACAGGTGTTCAAGAGTAAAGCTCTGGAACTTGGAGAGAAACTTCTGCCAGCTTTTAACACCCCCACCGGTATCCCACGTGGCGTCATAAATCTGGGCAGGCAAGACACACGTCCTTACAAGCGTGTCGTTTTATTACTGAATGTTTGTAAAAGACCAGGATTCAAGCAGGAACAGCAGCAGTTCCTCAGAGGTGCCCCCCTCTAGTGCAGATTCTTCGAGGTCATTTGTTTTGCCAACTCAAAACCAAGAGGTGCCTTGGCAGAGGTTGCAGGTGACTCAAGTTAAACCCAGCTGTGTTTTATTAATTTTGGGCTCTCCGCAGTTTCTTCCTCCACCTCTTGGCAGGGCTCCCTGCTGCAATAGCATTTTCCTCACTCTCGTTTTCTTTGAAAGGTTATTTGTAGTCTGCACGTAGCATGTGGTGCTTTCTGTATTTTTACAGTGTGCCCAACTAGATGCATGTGAATTTATCCAGGCCTCGCGTTTGGAAAAACTGGGAAGGGAACTGGATGGGACTGGCTGACAGGTTTACTGCTAGGAGGCGGGGAGTGCACAGATCCTCTTTTTTTTCTTTTTTTTTTTTTTTTCTCTCCCTGCTGGTAGCACTCAGCCAGGTGTGTATCCTTCACTTAGAGCCACAACATTTCATGTCAGGTACCTGGTGTTCTCCTGCTGGAAGGGAGCTTTGAGGCAGCTGGGTTAAATATCCTCCTGATGGTATCTCCGCAAAAAAAAAAGGCAAACCTGGAGGCTGGAGTGCCAGTCTCTGATTCTTGCTAGTAGACAGTGCTCCCTGTCAGTAAGGGCTCACTGGCTCATTTTGATGCCTGCAGACAAATCCCCCAGGGTAAAAGCTGCACGCTGGCTGAAACACAGACGGAGGGAAATGTGGGTTAACAAAAGCCTTTCATCCTTACCTCTTGCAAAACTCGGAGCAGCAGCCATGAAAATAATTATTCATCTCTTAGCCCAAATCTCCTGTTTGGCTCACGGCTCTGTGAAGCGCGAGGCTTTTGAATGTTTGGCTCACGCTGATCCATTGCTCAAATATCACTGTCACCCTTCAGTTGTCTTATCTCCACGTGATCCCGGTGAAAATTTGAGCCACCACCATGACTTTAATTGTGTCTTTTTAGAGAAGAGACATTCTGCTTCCTCTGTGGCTGATAAAGACTCAGCGTAGACTAACCTTTCACAGAAATGCCAAACCCTCCCCTGCCCTTTGTGAAGACAACTGAAATGGACTGGGTCTGCTGAGACATTCCCAAAATGTTTTGCTGATGACCTTGACTAGAAGCAAAGAAAATCAAAGTTGCATCGAGCCTGCAATCCAGAACCCGTATTACTGGCTCGAGCTCTGGCTTCAGGGCCATGAAACTGCTGGGAGGGCTCAGAGTATCAATTGATTTAGGAGCAAGGATAAAGCCAGCGAAAGCTGTAGTCTGGCTACTGCAAGAACATGAGGAACAGCCAAAGGCTGTAAACCCAGAGGGGAAGGGTGAGACAGTGGAGAGAACACTGACCTAAACCTCAGGGCCAAACCAAAGCTGGGTTTTGGAAGAAGAAATTCTGTCTCCAATTCTAGTTGTGCAAGGATGGGCTAATTCCAGAGAGACCTTGTCATCTCAAAAGGAGAGTCTTGCAGCATTTGCTGGCTTTTGGTGCTGGTAGCTTGGGAGATGGGTTAAGAATGACATTAGGAAATTTGAAACAACCAAAAGCTGGCGTTAAGTCAGTTCTGTGGGTACATTTTTGAGGACCCAAGTACAAAGACACCCACCTCCCCCAGCTTTTCCTGTAGCCAACTGACTTTATCTCTTCCTGTCTCCTCACATCCCCTTTTCCTCTTGTGTTCCCTCTCGGCTGATGTGCTTCCCTGTGGCCTTTTGTTTTCACGCAGACACTGTATCGTATCTCACACAGGCTTGTTTTCCATCCTGCTGGTCCAACTGCCACGTTATCTGCCAGGTCCTAGAGTACATTGACTTCTCGAGCTGCTGCTCTGTGCACTCTGCCTGTGCGTTGCGCTCTGATCTCTCTCCTGATGAATCCTGTTGCAGCTTCCTGGCCTGGGCTTTCCTTCACATCTCCCCTAAACCCTCTGCACCTTGAGATTTTTATTTCATCATCCTCTCCTGGTCTCTTTCTTGGTTTGGCACTGGTTTGCTGCTTTGGATCTCCATGAGGAAAGGAGATGACACAACCATTTTCAGTCCATGCTTGCACTGGCTGATATTTAAGGAAGATCCACTTACCTGGGCAATAAAGCAAGCCCTGGGCATTTTCTTTTGTCTCGAAGACAAAGATTCTTCTAACAGCAGTTTGCTCTGCGATGCTGTAGAACAAGGCAGCTGCAAAGACCCAGTTTGTCCAGCCTGTGATGCTGAAAAAACATTTTCCTGCAGGGAGTCATTTCAGGCTGCTCTTTAACCCAGGGACACACTGCAGACCTACTCTGTTTCCTCCTTGAGCTTTACTGTGATTTGTAACACGGGGCTTGGGTTCCCAGCAGCACGGTGCTTGCAGGCAGCACCTGGCTGCGCGTTTGGGACAAAAGTTCCCCCGGGAGGTTTGTGTCGGCCGCCCCCCTGCCCCCTCTTAGCCGCTATCACAACAAACATGGCCCCATTTGGCTGCTTCCAAGCACTCCTCATCTGAACTAGTGTAGAAGGCAATTTCTGTTTGTGAGATCATATTTGTTACAACATCCCTCTGGCGCAGTAAATAAAGCAAAAGTAATTGACTCTTTATAAGTGTGAGAACACGGTGGGATTGTTTAGCACACCCATCCCAGGGCCAGCTGCTGCCAGGTT